TTTTTAGTCTTCATGAAAAACTGGTATTGTGAACTTGATTCCGCTTCTTTGAAGGAGAAATAATTAAAAAGAAGTCCCGAAAAACGAGAAATTAGGTCCGAAAGTCACCCCGTCACGGACCGTGCCTTATGACTCGCGCCGTTCGACGTCGAACGTCGCAATGACTGCTGCATGTCGTGTCGTACGAATCGTACAGGATTTTAAGCCTAGTTCACATTCGACGCAACGCCGACGGTACGGGACGTAAGGGCTTGTCGGGAGGGCTGGGGTGAGCTGTAAATCCTGTACGATTCGTACGACACGACATGCAGCAGTCGTTGCGACGTTCAGCGTCGAACGGCGCGAGTCATAAGGCACGGTCCGTGACAGGGTGACTTTTGGACCTAATTTCTCGTTTTTCGGGACTTCTTTTCAATTATTTCTCCTTCAAAGAAGCGGAATCAAGTTCACAATACCAGTTTTTCGTGAAGACCAAAAAATTAGCCCTGAAAGTTGTGGCATTCAAATAATAGCCCCAGGAAATGATAGAATAGTTCGTCTGTCACGCTTCTGAACTATCCCTAAATACAATAAGTGACATGAGATCTTATGTTGCTAAAATTAAACTCAAGTCGTGCTAGCCATTCTGTGAGTTATCATGGGAAGCGCAGTGTTCGAAATGCTAAAAACTCCCAAGTACGAATCGGGAGCAGCCGGCGCACGACGCCGTCTCCTGTTCACACTCGAATTGCAGTCGTTTTGTACGCTTGCGTCCCCGTCTACGGTATGAAAAGTTGGATCGATCCAACTCTTCCCGTCGCTTCCCGATCTGTACGGTAGTACGGTTGCGTTCCCGATTCTGGTGTTCACATTGGACGCCGTCAGACCGTCCCGTCGCTTCCCGTCGATCCTCACGTCGTGTCCCGTCGCGCCCCGTCGAATGTGAACTAGGCTTTACAGCTCACCCCAGCCCTCCCGACAAGCCCTTACGTCCCGTACCGTCGGCGTTGCGTCGAACGTGAACTAGGCTTTATGCAACAGACGCCGTACACTTACATACGGAGATACACATCAGGTAAAGTTCCGTATTAGCTCCGTATTACTTCCGTATTAGCCATGCAGGGATACTACATAAGTACTATGCTAACAGCCCCGCAGGAAGGGTGAAGAAGTAGATTTATATTGAAATTTCTGTGTGGACTTTGACTTTTATGGCATGGCGTAGTGGGTGAGTAATTTTGCATCTAAAATATCTAGGAAAGCAGCGGTGTTTCGAATATAAGACCCTGGCTTTAAAGGCGCTGACATGCGGTAAAATGCATAAATGGGAATGCATACAAGCAAGAAACCATAAACAGGTTATTTATATGCACTCTTGATACAAACCAATGCCTTGCGCCTGCATTGCCCTGCAATGGCGCTACGATATTGATCAAGGGCTCCCTATAAGTGGATTTAGTTTTGCTCGAATGTCAAGTCCGCTACAAATTTTACAACGGAGCCGAAATCTACCTTCATGCACACGAGCTGCACGCCAAATATGGAAAATACAGTAACGACAAGATTTAAGAGTGCTCTTGGTAATGCCTATCGGTCGAGAACATAGAATCTGATGTTTCGACTACAGAATGATGAGAGTTTGTTGTATCACGGTATGCCGAATGGTACCGTTCACAGTTTTATTGAATGACAGTCCCACAAGGGGTCGTCGCAAAAGTTTTTTGTCGTCCCTGAAACGAACATGATTCATGGGGGGGGGGGGGGGGGGGAGGGGTGCGAGCCAAAATCGCAAGTCGACCGACATGTACATATAATATATATGTACATGCATGCGATTTTCGTCCTCTAGCGTAGCAAGCTGTGTTCGTTTCAGAGGGAGGGGGGGGGGGTCCAACTACGAAATGAACGATGTTCGTTTCAGGGACGACAGAAAGCTTTTGCGACGACCCCTAAGATAGTAGATAGGTTCTGCTATTCTGCTCTACATGAAATGTAGAGAAATCACGTAGAGAGCAGGAGTCTGGGTTATTATTAGTATTATTATTATCATTGTTATTGGACTCAGATGGAGAGCCAAGGTTTAATTTATACAAAAAAGAACGACCAAGGAACTACAAGTTACGCTATTCTGTCCACTAACACCACCAGTTAGGGGCCGTCCAAGGTTACCAATCATATTTTCAAAACGAAAAGTTTTCGTTAGGGGTGGGTGGGTTTAATGGAGTTTCGTTTTGAAAATAATTATTGAATGCAGATGAAGAATGCCCAGTAACTTCTGGGTACCGAAAATTGACATCAATATTTTACTGGAATTCGTATTACCTGCAGAAAAGGTGGGTGGGTGGGCATGGTGGGTGGGGGCTGAAAAATACTAAAACTTTTCGTTTCGTAAAAACAATCGGTAACCCCGGACGGCCCCTTACTAAACAATCCGCTCATGCGATAACATTGCACGACACTGACCGACGGTACTGATGTTCTACAACTAACAGGCTAACAGCTCTAGAACACCTTGGACACA